TGTCCGTAATCAGCATCCGTAATCATCCACATGCATTCAGCGGTGTAATTTTAACACTGGACCTGTTTGATCTCCTTTCTTGTTTTTTGCTGCGAAAATCATGTCATCCAGATATAGTCCAACCCCCCTTGACATAAACGCGCGCGTCTCCTCGGTTTCCCCAAAGCCATTGTTTACAAAGTGTCTTACTCCAGGCGCTTTCTGCTTGTTTAAATCAGTGAATAGCCTTGTTCAATTGACATACATATCCCCGAGTATTGTCGATAACCAGCAGAACTTTCATATCAAGCATTGTCTGTCAGCACAATGTAAAAAAACAGTAGTTGTCGCATTTGGCACACACACTACAGGTATCATCCGAATTTAAATGGTGACTAGGAAAAAGCTTAAAAAAGCGATTTCATACTTAGCTTGGACCCTTCCGACAAATCATGCATGTACTGCACAACGTGCCATTTGGTCACGTTTCTTGGCAAAGGCCCACCGTATTTATTCCGTGCGATTGTTCTAACCTCTTGGCTCGGATATCGATGTTTGGTTCTGCTCATGGTAGCAAAGATCAGCTTCAATAGCTTTGCACCACGTCCATACAGCATAGATTGCCATTACTTGAGTATATGCAGCCGGTAAGTCCGTATCATCGTTACATCTTACTATGTACGAATGAGCAGCATCGGTAATGGGTTCTTCTTCGTCAATTTTACCACGTTCTCATGTCAGTGGACCATCACTTCCTTCTTATTGCATCTATATCATCTGCTCTGTTCGAGGCGAAGCATCGGCTCAAGTCTTCGTCTTGGTCGCTCCACGATGAGATCAAATCACATATCGAGGGCAGAAGTACCACCTGACGGGCTTTTCAATTGGCTATTTCCTTGTCTGTAGACCACAACTTGCTTGTCAAAAGAAACTAAATGCTTCGCCATACTAAGACACTTTTCATCCTCAAGTAGTGAAGTCGTCGCGTCATCATCACGTGATTGTGCAGTAAAGAGCGATCGTAGAAATCACGTGGCGTTACTCACGCTTTGTCGGAGTTCACATTTAGCTCCCAGTGGTCGACGTCTTCCCAGGAGAAGACTTTGATGCGCTTGTTTGACATCGTGGGTACTGGCGTTGTAGTGAAGAAAGGATTGGTATCGGCTTGTAACCTATTAAATTGATGGGAAAACACAAATATTTCTCTTTTTTTTCGTCCTAGCATTGCCATATCTATCCCAAAGTGCTCTGGTGTAATAGCTACAATCTGGTCGGTCAACCATTAAAAAGGAGTAGCTACTGGCTATATACCCCACAAGGAATCTTAAACAGCGTGTAATCAACTTTTTTACTTTAGACTCGACTAGACGCTGCATATGTGATAATACAGCTGTCACATTTCCTGGAGAACCTCGGACTGCAACATTGAATCTCAATTATTCGCGTGCTAGGCTTCCGGAACTATTTTTTTATTATATATAGTAATGACAAAACTTCTGGAGCGCCCGACTCCAACCGCTGTGCGCTTGTTGACGCGTACAATGAGAGTTAAAGTTCAATATGTGTAAAGTGCACGGCAACCATGTCGTTATTGTTAGCAATCGAGTCATTCTCACAACCGCGCCGTGGTGAATCTGTACTTTTTGCCATGGATCATGATATGTCCGAATACCTGTTCTAAAGGCAAATAAGCCGACTTAGCAAATACAATTTATCTTGTGTCCCGATGGAAGTAAGAGAAAGAAGACCAAAGGGTCGAACACAAAAATCGCTTGACTAGTTATGCTCGCTAGCTTCGATGATGCGCTGATAAGGAAGGATTACGAGTGCCTAATAGGGTGCTGGTAGAGAAATAGATGTCTCACCACTGATTTTAGAGACGTAGACTGGAAAAGTCTCCCTCTGGGTGATGGGAGTTGACTTTGTCAGAATTTAATCTTGTTACAAACTCAGCCACAGTGCCTTAAGCTTGCGATATCCACGCTAGGAGGTTGCGCGCGAGAATAAGCACTTGTTTGCAATACCTTAAAAAGAAAAGGGGTTCCAACGTAGGGTACCTTGAGTAATAAAAGTCGCGAGTGTTCAAATTGTTGGACCAGGCTTGAACATTCGTCTGGAGTTCTTAAATACCCGTCAGCAAAGGCGGACTGTATCTAGCGCTTAGAAATCTTATCACCGCAATATTAAATGGCCCGTTTTAAAAATAAGTGTTGGCTGATATCTCTATTTAGGGTCTCTAACTGGGTGCAACTCGCGCCTAGAGCTTCCTCGTCAACTCCCTTTTCTCTAAGGAATCGGTGAGCGCCGAATGTACGTCGGAA